CGTCATGCTGATGCTACTTCAGCTGATGCTACTTCAGCATGACGCTCAGCGGATCTCCGATCACGGAGGATCGCGGACACTCTTGAGAATTTGGAGCGCGTCGTGCGCCGGCTACCTCACCTTAAGGACTACCGCTCTCTGTCGGAGCGACTCCTGGCCATGGAGCAGGCAAATGCATCGCTGAAGGCAACGGTGAAGCGCTTGGCTTCATTGAAAATGGAGGTTGTTGCACTCCGTGCTCAGAAGCAGTTGCTGGTTCAGTGTCTGGGTGGCCGAGGGCCCGTGGGATCCGCTCTGGCGCCAACGCTTCCGCATTTACTTGCCCGGATTCCGATATGGCTTGGGCAAACCCAGTAGCACCGGGTGGGTGCGCATCCGTTTGGGAAGGTTCAGCGTATACGCTAGGCCCCGCTTGGCCACAACCATAAACGGTCCAATAAACCGTGGACGTAGCTTCGTCCGGAAGATAGCAGATGCTGCATCTGTAGGCAGGATTTTTGAATTTATAAAACCAGGTCCCCGACCTTAAAGCTTTCATCTTTGACTCTTCCTTTTTAATCTGCATATTCTTTCTGCAGGTATTGGCTTTCAGTCATCGCATCGCGAACGGGTCGTATGACACTCAGTCTGGTAGACAAGCAGTCATTGAATTCTTTACGGATGGTGAGGGGGCTGACATCTGCTAGCCGTTTGGCTATTCCTCCCCCATCAAGCCCTGAGCCATGGGGTGGCGGCGTCAGCGGGACGCGAGGGCGAACCAGCCCGTTCATGTAGAAAGGCGTGAGGCCGGTAGACGAATGCACTGCATTGTTCAGCGCAAACTCTATGAGTCGCAACATGGCACTCCAGCACCTTGGGGTCTCAGCGCAGACGCTCCGAAGAACGTCTTCGATGACGCGATCACTCTTTCGGTTTGACCATCGGTCTGCGGATGATCCGCTGTCGACATATCCAACTTGGTATCTAGCACCTTGAAGATAGTCGACAAAATTTTCCCTATCAGAAACAATCGACTATGGGAGTCCGTGTTGTCGGAAAACACGATCCACGAACAGCGTCTCTGTACCAACCCCGTCGATGGTGTCTGGTACCGCTGCCAAATGAGCCGCCTTGCTCAAGCGGTCGACAAATACCACGACACCCGTGTTGCCCAACGAATCTTTCGCCAGGCCGAACACACAGTCCAAACTCATGGACTGCCAGCACCTAGTGGGTACAGATAAGCTGGCCAGCGGCGCAGCCGCATTTGCAGAGGTTTTTACCCGTTGACACGTCTAACACGTGCGCACATAGGTACTCGTCAATTTGTACAGCTTGGGCCACCAATAGTGGTGACTCACAGAGTTGTACGTTATCTCACGACCGATATGACCACTGAGTGGCGTGTCGTGAGCCTCATAAAAGATGCGGTATTTCAAAATCTCTTCATTAGGAACCACAATTCGTGGTATATCCGTTGAATCGGTGCTACAATATAGCAAACCGTTATTCAATGAATATCAGTGCAATCGTGCACGCAATCTTGATGACAATTTCTTGTCCGAGTTTCCAAACACCTTGCTCCGTAGAGCCCGTAGCAACGCTACACACATCCTATCACCCGCATACGCGGTGCGGATCAAATCTGTCACAGACGACGTTACAGTTGTATCATGAGCAAGCTCATAGTCTGATATGTGTGACAACGCATCAGCCAAAGCATTCAGCTTTCCCGGCTTATC